AAAAATTACCTACCAATGCGACACCCTGGTGACTGGAAGGAAGTAAATCTAGAACTTTCTGTGGCTAGCTTCACAGAGCCTAAAGATTACATCTTGCCAAGTTAACTGTACATTAAAACTTGAGAAACACTCCTCAGGAAGAGATGTAGAACCTTAAGCCAAGCTTGCAAGTAAAGCCTTAGACAATCAGCCTGTGAACCAGGCCCCGCCGCCACATCAGGCCGACCAGAGAACCCCTCTGTCCTCTCCCACTTAACGACAACACAACCAGGGCCTTAGTAAACTCTCCTCCCATAAGATAGGTGAAGGCCAATTGCATGTTCACTGTAGGTGACCCTCTGGACTAGGGCATTATGGCACCAGTCAAGGGATTGTAGAGAAGGACCCTGAACTTCCCCCACTCAGCTTGGCTGTCATAGACTCCCGGGCTAGACCACGGTCTGTGGGCTGGCCTCCGTGCCCCGGCAGAATGGCAACTCCCTCCAGCACAACGAGGAGTGTGCTGGTGATCTTCATCCAGGCTGGTTTCTCTGTCTGCGCTTTGCCCTGGCGCACTGTGCAGCCTGTTCACTGGGGGCCTGGGGCCCTGCCCCCTGCCCAGTGCCCAGCGGCAGTCAACCGAGTGGGAGTTGGGGTGACACCTGCCACATTAGCTTTAGAAACCAGGGGGTGGAGCACAGAGCCGCTTTCTCACTACTCTCTCTCACTGCTGAGATCTGGAAACAGCTGCACCCCATTCCCTGGGTCTCCGGGGAGGGACCAGCCAGCCGATGAGTTTTCCAGATGGATGAGATGAGCAGTGCCTCCTGGAACATGACCTCAGGCACCTGCACTGGGGACCTCTGCTCCACGGAGGGGAGCAAGTGGAGCCTGGCGTGTCATCCATCGCCCCCGCAGCCCCTCCAGTGCCCCCCACAGGGGCAGCAGCCTAGTGAGTGAAGAATAAGGTCAAACCCAATTGCCTCAGGCTGAACTGCCCACTAAGAGGGCCTGGCTCGAGCACCTTTCCATCTGAAAACTCCAGTGGACAAAAGTTCTGACCGCACCTGTCAACTGGTTTCCATGGAAAGCCTCAGAAAGACCCGTGGGTTAAACTTCATGCATGTGTTAGTTACACATCTCACAACTCACCTTCACTGAAAACAATCAAGTGAGCAAAACAAAGAAATGGGTGCCTCATTCCAGGCGTCCGAAACACAACATAATTCCACACCCAGAAGCACTTGGACACAGGGCTACTATTTTTTTTTTTTTAAGTTTATTTATTTATTTTGAGCAAGAAGGGGTAAGGGGCAGAGAGGGAGAATCCCGACGCAGGGCTCCATGCCACAAACCTCAAGATCATGACGTGAGCTGAGTCATGACCAAGAGTCAGACACTTAACGGACTGAGCCACCCAGGCGCCCCTGGACACAGGACTGTTAACGTGGCCTCAGACAAGGTAGTCTCGCACCAGAGGGGCCAGGGCTTTCCCCAATGTCAGCTCTCCTTAATTCAAGTTCACTGAGGTGTAATTCAATTATAGTAAAATTCACCTGTTTCAGGTGTTCCAATTCTACAAGTTTGGGCAAAAAACATGTAACCCTCACAATCAAGATTTGGAATATGTCTATCGCTGCCCCCCACCCCCAAACTCTTCATGTCACGTTCTAGTTAACCCGTCCCCCACCCACTTCCTTCCCCGTAGTGCTCCCTTTTCTAGAATGTCACACAAATGGAATCACACAGCGTACGCACTCTGAAGTCTGGCTTCTTTCACTCAACACGATACCTTTTTATTGCCGAGTAATATTTCACTGTGCAGATGGGCCACAGTCTGTTTATCCACTTATCGTTTCCACTTTCCAGCTATTACGCGCAGAGCAGCTACAGACATTTGCATAAGGTCTTTGCGTGGGCAAATGTTTTCATTTCTCCTGTGTCAGTACTACCTGGGAGTGGAGGCGCCGGGTCCTATGGGAAGGCAGTGTTTAACATGATAAGAAAGTACCGAAGTATCTTCCAAAGTGGCCACACTATTTCGCTTTCCCAACAACAATGTAAAAGAGCTATAGTTACTCCACATCTTCATGCTGTGTTGTCAGGATTTTGTGGGTTTGTGTTTTGTTGTCTGGGGGGGGGACCTTTCGGGGGGGGGTGTTTAAGCCATTCTGATCTATGCGTAATGGTATCTCACTGTGGTCTTAATTTGCATTTCCTTGATGACTAACAAGGCCGAGCATCCCTTCATGTGTTTATTGCCATCTCTTTTCTTTCTCTTCTGCCCTCCCATTTGCGTCTCTTCTTTGGTAAAGTATCAGTTCAAGAATTTTTGCCCACTTATCAAACTGCCGTCTTGTTAAAGGGCTGTAAGAGTTCGGCACATATTCTGGATACGAGTCCTTTATCAGCTATGTGTTTTGAAAATATTTTCTCCTGGTTTGTGGCTTGTCTTTTAGTTTCTAGGCAGTGGTTTTCACAGAGCAGATGTTTTTAATTTTGATAAAATCCATTTTACCAACTTTTCCTTTCACAGTTTATGTTCTTTGTGTCCGAAGTAGCCTTTGCCTTGCCCAAGGCCACAAAGATCTGAAGCTATGTTTTCTTCTGTAAAGTTGTCACTTTTAGATTTTGCTTTAGGCACATGACCCACTTTTGTTCATTGTTGCACATGCTGTAAAGTATGGGTTGAGGGTTTTGGGTGTTTTCTTTAAGGATATCCAATTGTTGTAGTATCATCTATATCCTTTCTCCATCGAATTATCTTGGTGCTTCTGTAGAAAATCAATTGATCATTTAGGTGTGGGTCTGCTTCTAGACTCTTCATTCTATTTTCTATTTGCTTTCACCAATGCCACACTGTCTTCATCCCTATAGCTTTATAGTAAATCTTGACATTTGTAGTGTAAGTCTTCCAATTCTTGTGCTTTGGCTAGTCTAGGTTTTTTGCCTTCATATATGCATTTTTAATGAGCTTGTCATTTTTTGAATTGGCTCACCATTATGCAAAGTATTTATATTTATGTTTCCACGTTTTAATTGGGGTTTTGTCAAATCTCTGGATCAATTTAAGTTAGGTGTCTTCTCCTTTTGAAAGTAAAGGAGTGGTCATCCCTCAGAGATACCATAAAAGAAAGACTGACCGGTTGCTTCCGAACTCACCCACACAGAATAGCTTTGCCAAATGGCCTTGGCTCTAAGGGCTGGGTTGTGGGGTTCACAGGTTCTGATGTGGAAGGGCACGGGTGAGGGGGGCCAGGAATGCAGTCTGCCTCTCCAACCTGCTCCCTGATATAGAAAGGAAAAGAAAGGCACGCAATTGAGGTCAGCCCTGAGCCCTAACACCAGAAAGGAGCATGACTGCTTGACAATTTTTTGAAAATGAGGTGACAGCTTTTCCATCCTAGGGGCCATTAGAGGATGAGTAGGAGTTCACTAATGCAGAAGAGAAGACAGAAGTTAATTCCTCAAAAGGAAATAGTAAGAGCAAGGAATAGAACAAGCAGGAAGCTCAGAACTGCAAATTTTGAGGACAGAGGGTTGGAGATGAAGTCTGGGGTCAGAAATCTGTTCCCTGGGCATGGAAGGCCATGGAAGCTTTTGAGTGGGAAGGGCATAATCAGATCTGTAATTGAGAAAGATCCTCTTACTGGCAGGCAAACTATCCCCCCAGAGATCACCCTGTGGGTGTGGCAACAGACATGTGATGAGCAGGTGTGACTGGGGAAATGGCCGAGAGTCTGGACCAGAATCTCTTTGGAGAACAAGGCCACCAAATGAAAACCAGACAAGGGATTGAAGGGGATGGGAGAGGCACAGGAAGACACATCTGTCTATCCCCGACTCCCCCGGACCCTGAAAAGCATCCACCACTTTCCAGGCACATCCACAGCCCCAGGCCGAGCTCTGCTGTAAGAAGCCAAAAACATACATGTGGCCTTGAAGGACCTCACTGAGTAAGAACATGGAATCCAGACACAGTGTGAGTATTCACATTCTGCTTTTCAGGGGCAACATTTTGTGTGAAGGTTATCTTAAAAACGCAACCTTCCACAAGATGGCTTTGCTTTTAAGATTATGCCATTGGGGTTGAATAAATTTCTTGGCAACCCTGTGGATAAATCTGGTCAGGGCCTCACTGCAAAGTCTGAAAAAGAGACAGATGGAGCCGTCGGCCAGAAAGCCCCAGTGACAGAAACAACTATTCCCTGGAAGGGGAAAAAAGGGCAGAAAGGCATCTTTGTTTATTTTTACAAAATTTGGAGAACAACAGTGTCTCCCAGCTGTCTCCACAAGATCAAACCAGCTCCAAATGGGAGATGCTAGGTATTTGCCAACACTTGAAATCAAAGTCCAACAGGCCTGATGGCCCTGTTTCTTGTCTTTTCCTCCCTTTGTATTTCAAGATGACAATTTCATTTGTTCATTGATGCAGCCTGTCCATTCAATAAGCGTTCTGATTCATCTATGAACTTCAAACTCCACTTCTAATCTAAATCAGAACACAGAAGTACATGACCGCTTCACTGCTTGCTAGGCCCTCTGGCTCATTCAAAGCAAACACTCAAAGGGGGCCTCAGAATGACATTTAATCATGGGGTCTGCATTTTCGGTGTAAGGCCATGCCCTCCGAAGTCCAACACAGGGACTGTCAAACTGTCAACTTCTCTGGGACTGAACACGCACAAGCGCCCCAGTGCTCCCATCCCCTCGTCAGCCCTCAGGGGACACCAAAGCCTTTTAAGGGGCTGGTACCTGTAACTCCAGAATTAGGGTTAGGGCACAGGCCCGAACAGGGCACCAAATCTGGCCTTTGTTAAGGCCTATTAGAAACTGATAGAAAGAGTCCGTTGTGGGAAAGAGACATCTTTAGGCTTCATCTAAAAGTCAAACCTCTGTAAACTTCCATTTAACTATAACAGAGCCCAGTGGAAATTTTGCTTCCTTCCTGATTTATTAAATAAAGATAACCAACAGAAACAAAACAAAATTCCGTTGGGAGCTAGTTCATGCTCTCCCACCCTGCTTCCATGGGCTATTCTTAGAAACATGGACCTAAGCACCACGTGCAAAAATGCCGCGCTGTTGGTTTACATGGCCTGTCTGCCGTATCAGAGAAGCGAGAGCCAAAGGTGACATGCTCACTTCGAAGCCACTTCGTCTTCGCCCAGGAGCTCCTGTCAGGAGGGAGCAGGCTTCTCCGGGCTGCTGCACCGTGACAGACGGGAAGAACGTCTAAACTCTCTTTCAAACTTATAGAAAAAGAAAAAAACAAAACACCCACACAGTGGGGAACAATTTCCCCACTGCGTGGGTGGTGGGGCCCCGAGAGCTGTTATCTGCAAAGGGCACTTCTGGGGGTTACCCAGCTGTCACCACTGTGTGGATTCCACTCAAAAACCTCAAGCCAAGCAGTGGGGAATGAACATCAAGAGACAATTTTCCACTCTGTGAAAATGACTTGACTTTACAAAAATAAATTAAAACGCTGCGATAATACATGAAATGTGTACAGGACCTGTTGATAAATGCACACCTCGGTCACAGTAGATGTGCTTCCTTGCTTGGTGTATCTATACCATCAGAAGAATATGACTGTGTCATTCTCCACTTCCTGACCCCTCAGCGCCTGACCCCACATGATGTCTCACACACACATACACATACCCACACCCACACACTCCCCTATACCATACAACTGGGCGTGGAATTACTGGTCTAGCAAGGGCTGGAGCCTGAACCAGCATGTCTGAGGGCAGGAGTGGGAGCAGGTGGGGTGTGCGTGTGTTAGTGTGGAAATCGGGGGAAAGGATGTTCTAACACTGTTCATCGTAACAAGGGAGATCTGATGGCCCAAGCCAAAACGCAGATGCATGAAAACAAAACCAGGCGTACCTCGGGTTACGCCCCTCTTTTACCACACAAGGGCCCCCCTGCTCCAGGCTGCCCCGGGTGTCTGTGGCAGCCTAAGAGGCACAGCCTGCCCACCAGGTTCATGGGATTGAGTGATTCCTCCTCTCCTCTGCACACTCGTGTCCAACCCACTCCTAAGTGAACCCATCCTCCCGACTGCTGCCGTCTGGAACCACAATCGCCTCCTCCCTTCCCTTTGTCCCACCCCCGTCTATCACAGGAGCCTTGCTCTTGGCCCTGGCCCTCCTGTCAGAATTTGGGAAACAGACCTGGTGATTAGAGCCTCAAGTCCCAAACCTTGCTTCCAAAAGTCTCCTGATGCACACAAAGAGGACCCGGGAAGCTCTCAACTCCAGAATCTGGGTCCTGGGTAAACAACCGTGAGCGTTTGAAGTAGACCCAGAACTATATAGATGTAGGATACACTCCTACTTTAAAACGTAATCGACAGAAGAACAGCATGGCGATTCCTCCAAAAAAACCTAAAAATACAATCACCATAGGATCGATCCAGCAATTACACTTCTGGGTATTTACTCAAAAGATGTGAAAGCAAGGTTTCAAAGAGATTTTTGTACACTCGTGTATATAGCAGCACCATTAACAATAGCCCAAAGGCAGAAACAACCCGAATGTCTACTGACAGATAAATGCAAGTGTAATATATATACATATACACATATATACATATACACACACATAATGGTCTATATATACATATACACATACACACACACACACACATACACACACACACAAATGGAATACTACTCAGCCTTAAAAAGGAAGCAAATCTGACACATGCTACAACATGGATGAACCCTGAGGACATTCTGCTAAGTGAAAGAACCCAGACATAAAAGACAAATACTGTATGATGATTCTACTTATATGAGGTTCCTACACTAGTCAAATTCAGTGACAGAAGGCAGGTTACCAAGGGCTGGAGGCAGGGCAGGGGAGGATGAGGAGTTAGTGTTCAAAGAGTATAGAGTTTTAGTTTGGGAAGATGAAAAAGTTCTCGAGATGGGTGTGGTGATAGTTGCACAAGAATGTGAATGTACTTAATTTCACTGAAGTGTACATTTTTAAACCTTTAAGGGTTAAAATAGTAAATTTTATGTTAGGTATATTTTACCAAAAGGATAAAAAAAAAAGCAATCGACGAAAGGATTGAAGCTTCAATTAATCTAAATAAGCTAGCTTATTAGATTAACTAGGATTTTTATTTAAAGAGGAGACATAACCAGAAACCCACACCCTCTGGTTTCATCTTCTTCCTCTCCTCTGAGGATAGAAGTGGGTGACAGGCAGCAGAGGGACAGAAGAGCTACCACCAGACAATCCAAGGACATGCAGGCTTCGGAGAGGACAGGCCAGTTCCTCCTGTGCCCGCTGACCCCAGAGACAGGACAGAGAAGGTGGTGTGACAGCAGGTGGTACAGTCTGACCCACAACGACACTTTATTAAGAGTCGTTGGTTCTGGCAGGGGCCCCTGGGTGGCTCAGTTGGTTAAGCGCCTGGCTTTGGCTCAGGTCATGATCTCACTGCTCATGAGTTCGAGCCCTCGCCCCCCCGCCAGGCTCTGTGCTGACAGCTCAGAGCCTGGAGCCTGTTTCGGATTCTGTCTCCCTCTCTTTCTGCCCCTCCCCTGCTCACACTCTCTCTCTCTCCTTCAAAATAAATAAGCATTAAAAAAAAGTTTTAAGAGCCATTGGTTCCTGCAGACTGGGGGCTTCCCAGAAGATGGTTTCTTTCCCACCACAGATTTACAGACACTGTTGTGCTTCCTGGAACTTTTCCATCACAATTCCTTATATTTCAGAAATCATTTCTGGAAAATACAACCTCTGATAATGCGTTCTGCATTTCCACTACATCTGAGATGTTGGTACATGGACAGGTCAAATGCTCCTCAGTAACCTCATCTAGGCTTGGGTGAATGGGATGTGTGAATAGGGCATTTACACCTGTCACAGGCTCACCCAAGCCAAAAAAAGTCTCCACATTGTCCCTGTACGTATGCTCAGGGACCTGCATTATCAGTTAGCGGGGCACCTGTCTGAGCCCACGGAGTCTGCCTTCTGTGAGGATGGTTTAAGATTCGCTTTCTCTAAGAAGCCTCCTTTGACTGATTTACCTCCTCCTATAAGATTTGCGTCTATCCTTAAGTCTTCTTCACCCATACCCCTTGTGTTTCCCCGGCTCGTAAATGCCTTACAGCCAGGACGGTGTCTTAAATTTCCTTTTACAACGGCTTTAAATAAGCACCCTGTCATTCAGCTGGGCTCTGCAGCAGACAGCATTTTCCCAAAACGGCCTCATGAAGATTTCCCCACCTCTCATGTCCTTGTTACAATGTGGCCAGCACTCCTTCCACTGTGAGGCAGGGTCTCTGCTTCCTCCCTCTGAACGCCAACAGGGGGTTGTGTCTGTTCCAACAGAGTAAGGCGGAAGTGATGCTCTATGACTTCCCAGGCTGGATCACAGGAAGGAGACAGCTTCTACCTGGCTCTCCCTTTCCAGGACACTCAATCAGAGAGGGCCGACTACCATACCGTGAGGAAGCCCAAACAAGCCCATGTGGAGACCACACGGACCCGCGTGCGGAGAGGAACAGAGATCTCTGGCCATCGGCCAGCATCACCCACTAGACACAGAAGTGAATGAGCCTTCAGATGTCTCTGTCCTCCTCCCTGAGTCTTCCAGAGCAGGCCCCAGACCCTGTGAAGCAGAGTCAGGCCATCTTCCCTGTCCTTCCAAACCCCTGTCCCACAGAACATTGCCAGCATGATCACTGGTAGCTCGGTGGCCTCAGGCAGCCATAGGCACGGGGTTTCCATAAATGTGGCCACCGGATGAGTAATTCCAAAGCTCTCTCCTCTCTAAAATGGGCTCTGCTTAACTGCTCCAACTTCATTTTTTCCCTTCTCCACAGTGGAATGCCTATCCTGTAGGACCTCCTATAGGACCATGACTCAGGGTGTCCACGTCTCTATTCAGCTTCATAGCCACTGTCTACTAACCACACTTCTTCAGCCAGACTGGGCTGCTTTAGGGAAGGGGGAGCCAAAGGGAGGAGTCATTCCTAATCCAAGCCAAGCGCTTCCTTCCAGAGAGCGCCCACTGCCACCAATTCCACAGAAAAGTAGGTATATCTAAATCGCTACCCAGTCAAGGGTAAGAAGACATTTTCCCTTTCCAAATGAAGAAGATGTTCAGCTCAGACAACAGTCTCCACCTTCTGTTTGGTGTTGGTAACCGTACAGAAGGATGCCAGGGGCCTGCCCTGGCCCCAGGCAGGCCGGGCAGGAATCTTTTCCACGACACAGGCCTGGGACCCATAATAAGCACGGGGCCAAAGACACCATCCACCTGGGACCTCCATCCGGTCTCCCCTGCTCTGCTATCCTTACCCGATTCCCTGATTCGAAAAGGTTGATAGTTGGCAAAAGTCCCTCAGCCTCACAAAGTATTAAAAAGAAAGTTTTGTCCAGTTCCGGAAGAATCTGAGTTTCTGCACAAGTCAGAACTCTCCACAGAGCCACAGAGTAACCCTTACCGTGGCGGGAACAAGCCCATGTTTGTTCTCCGGACTAGAGCAAGACCTTGGCTTTCTTAGGGAGGCCCCTTTAGCTCTCATGCAGAAAAGTCTTGATAAGCAGGACTCGAATATGAGGAAAGTTCCACCAACGGAAAAGAATGGAAAGGGCAGGGGCACCGGGGTGGCCCAGTCGGTTAAGCATCCGATTTTGACTCAGGTCATGATCTCGCTGTCCGTGAGTTCGAGACCCACATCTGGCTCTCTGTTCTCGGCACAGAGCCTGCTTCGGATCCTCTGTCTCCCTCTCTCTCTGCCCCTCCCCCGCTCACACTAGCACTTGCACTCTCTCTCTCAAAAATAAATAAGCATTTGTTAAAAAAAAAAAAAAAAGAAAGAAAAAAGAAAAAAAAAGGAAGGAAGGAAGGATGGGCAAAATTCCCCACCGTCCCTCACACACACCGAAAAGCAATCATGAGCATCTCTGGAGCAGCTTTCTTCAAGAGTATCCAGAAATGTCCGACAGAAACACCTTCTTCCCACACACTCATTCCTAGTTCCGAGTGGTTCTAGCCCAGTCCTGCCTTCTTCCTGCTCTACCCCACACAGTGCACCAGCAGCTTTTCGGGCTTCTGTGACTACCCACCGTGTCGATCGAGCCACAGTTAACTGTAAGCAAGCACATACAACCTGTGACAAGCGGATTTAGAAGGCGATCTCCTTTGCAGTAACTATGGTTTATTTGTGGAGAGCTGGCCAGATGTCCTGAGCTGACCAGCGGGTGGCACTTCGGGGAGGCTGTGAGCACAGGTTGTGTATGGGCAGGAGACACATTGCTTATTATTCTTCCATTGAGACTGGATCTTTAATGAACATCTTAATACATTCTGATGCATGCCAGGGGATGCATGTACTTGGATACTAGCATAAGAAACCAACGTTTTTCGTAAATATGATGCACTTGAGAAAAAGGCAGAAATGAAGCAAGACCAAAAATGGCACTTTTAGCCATTCTCAGATATACCTAAGACAAGGCAGGGGGGCATGGAGGGGACAGGGGCTTCACTAACAAGCCTTCACTCAGCTTTCTGTTTGCCCAGCCTCACCATTCATGCGGGACATCCTTGATTTCTGCGCTTATCCCTAGACAGAATACACTACCCAGAAGTCACTTGTGTCCCTGCCCTAGAGCCGTCCATTTTTTGTTTTAAAAGAAATGTGCTACCTACCACCACCTTTATGTAAAAGCTCTATTCCTCCAAATAGCCAGCGGCCCTCATCAATGAAGCAAATGGAATAATTCTAATTGCTGTGAACTGATACCATAGGTAGAGAAGCCACCAAAATTTAGCTTGAAAACCCACAGATTTGATCAAACCGAAAGCTATAAACCAGGAAAGGATTCCTCAAGAGGAAAAAAAAAAAATTTAGCTTTACCTGTGACTATAGCGGATGGCTATCGTCAGCCCAAGCTGTAATTAAAAAGAGAGAAAAACACATACTAAATAATATGAAGAGCATGCTGAGTTCACAAGAAAATTAACTTACGACGGTCCGTTATTTTTTAAACATTTCCTAAAATCTCCTACTCCTACTCCTTATATTTCATAAATAACACCTTTTAATGATAGTTCTTTGGTTTCAACATCATTCTTAAAGGCTAGTCAGATTGTGAAAGGGTCTTAGAGACATCTAAAATATTTCACTGTGAATTGGACAGGTGTCTCTCATCTGGAGACACCTTCCATAACAGAGCCTTTATTTATTTATTTATTTATTTATTTATTTATTTATTTA